GAGCCAATGTACACAGCCCCTATCTTATGGGGCTCACTGGCCAATCTTTCTTGGGTCTGCTCTATAGCCTAGAGAGGCTCCCGGAGGAGAAATGCTTTTTATGAAACTGTGCTCACATTCAACTTAGAAAATGAGGAGACTCAGCTCTGCAAGATTCATGTTGAGAGTGAAGAAAGGGAGGTAAGCCTCTACCAGGCACTCACAGGGATGCCCCGGGCAAATGACACAAAGGGGCTACTTTGGGCAAAATCTATGGCAAGAACTGTAAAAGAAGAAGGTTCTCCTGACCAATGACCAGAGAAAGCCACGGTCTGGGGCAGCCAGGGAAGCAACGGCCCAAAGCAACTCTGACTCCTCACTGAAAGACTCACCGAGGCTGTAGAGAAACAATAAGAACTGGAGCCGAGCAAGACCAGGGCCAAGAGGAAGATTTCAGGCTGCCATCTAAAGCCACTGAAACAGCTCACAGCAGTGAGAACACTTGATTTAAGTAAGTCCTGAGTATGATCCTCTGGGGGATTATCCATTGTTCACTACTGTGTCCATTACACTCGAATACTTAGTTGTTTCTGTGTAGAGTATATATGCAGATCATGCCTGCCACACTTGCTGGGATATAAGAATTTTCAAAGGTCATTTTTGATTAATCCAGCTCTTTGCTTTTTGTGCTATCTTTAGAGTCTAAGCTTGCATAACAAGCAACCCCACTGAAGTAGTGCAAGAAATGGTTAGTGAATAAACGAGTAGATAGAACTCTCCTTCGTGGAGGACATTTTCAGATGGCCTGAGAAGCCACCTACACCTGAGGTCAGGGACTTGCTGAAGTCAGAGAAGGGAGGCTAAGGACAACAGAAGTTCTCAGAAAGATTTACATTTCCACAGAGGAGGAACACCCACTCCTTCCCTTTATGACTACATTTGGGTTTGTCAGGTTGGCATGACAACTTAACATGCCCTAAACTTGCTCTTCTACCATCTCAGATGTTTTGGGTTCCTTTCATTCTAAGTGCTCAGACCAGAAACTTGGACACTGCCCTCAACTTTTTTTTTATACTGCCCCCTCACCTCCCATAACTGGTCTGTCAGTAATCTCCTCAGCCCCAACTGAGAATCCCATCACTTCTCACCACCTCCCTGGTTACCCTCCATCATCCTGGTCTGACCACCACCCACAGCCCTCACCCAGCAGGTCACCCTGCTGCCCTGCCCTCTCTGCTTCTAATTAATTCTCAAATAACAATAACCAGCAGGTCCTTGTTAAATGCTAAATCAGTCCACAACCCCTCTACTCAAAACCCTCCATCAGCTCCCATTCCCCCTCAAAGTAAAATCCATAGGCCTTACAGCATATGGCCTTACATGATTCAACTCCTACTGCCTACTGCCTCTTTGACCTCAAAAGCAAATGCTCTCCTCTTGCCTCAGGGCCTTTGCATCTGCTGCTTCCTCCACTGGGAATGTTCCTCCCCCAGATATCCATATGACTCACTTGCTTCACATATCCAATCAAAGATGACTCAGGCCTTCCCTACCTATCCTTTCTAAAATTTCAGCTCCTACCCCAACACTTAATACCCTCAATCCTGCCAGATTCTTCCTCAGGGCATGAAATATTGTCTGCCTCCTCACCAGAGTGCGAGCTCCATGTGGACAGAGAATCTCCATGCAGCATGCAGAGCACCAAAAACATTGCCTGGCACACAGAAGGTCCTCAATAAATGTACGAAATGCATTAAAGTCCTATGAAAAGTATAAGCTGCAAGCCAACCTCAATTATTCCAGAGTCAACAATCTAGAACCTGCAACAAAATTACAGGCTAGAAATAGCAAAGCTGGGAGGAAAAAGGAGACGGCCATAGAGTGCCTTAAAGCACACACAGGGCTTGTTTAAATCCTGTGTCAGTAATGCACAGCTTAACCTGGAGCAGGAATGCTCCCTAGCAAAAGAATAAAAGCCCAGACAGGCGGCCCTCTGAGGAGAGAATAACTGGAAGAACAGCGGGAGTAAAAATGAATTAATGAGGTTATCTGGCATTGGGAACAGACTAGTGTGTTGGGAGTTTTATAGGAAAGGCCTGGAAACCGGTCAGGGAGGGACTGTAAAATGTTTAAATTAAAAAAGCCTAAGAGGATTAAAGAATAATAAGTTTTTAAAAAGCTTTCATTTACCAGTACAAAGCACTATATAACTGCAAATTATGTATGACTGCTGACTTTTAATTCCCCTAAGCAAAATGGGAAAATTCCTCAAGATATCAGTGGTGCCAGAAAGGAGTCTCCAAAAGGACCCCAGGTTTGTCTTTGGAGACACTGAACAGGATTTCTAGATACCAGACCTTAGGTTCCCTGAGGGCAAAAGACTAAGGGTTATTCAACAATGATTTGTTCAACAGCACCTGGCACCAAATTAGCAGGTGGACTAATGGAAGGTTACGTGAGCTTGCTCCTGGGACACCTAAATAATTTCTGCACTACTACGACCTCTAGCCTTTGCTATACAAACATGACGGGCAGTGTGGCCGGCATGAAACCTAGCAAAACCCTCTACAATATTCTAGCCAGGTACTTTCATTAAGCATTTTTAAAACATCCTAACAGATGTTCGAACTCAGCTTCATTAACTTTGCCACAGTCAGAAAATACAACTACCATGCAGCCATGTGGAAAAAAAAAAAAAAACTGTCAATATATAAAGTTCTTGAAATACTTCTTTTCTTAAAAAAAATTTCACTCCCTACTCAGAGCAAAAAAAAAAAAAAAAAAAGAGAGAGAGAGAGAAATGCCCTGGAATTCAAAGAAAGAAGCTGGTCGCCATTTTCACAAAGGAAATGGTCTAGAAAGCAGATAGCTCACGCTCAGGCTGTCAGGTGAAACAGGTAGCCTGGCTGGACACACCTGCTCACCTTCTTTCAACTAACAGGTGTGCCATGTGGGCTTACGCTGCACATCCACTGCTGGCCACTTTAAAAGGCGGGTGCCCAAAAGCTATTTAATTCTGGAGAAGTGAAAGGAGACCACTAGTGACAGGTTCACAAGTGATCCTGGTAGAGTCAACCATAAGCCAGTACAGAATTCGGAATCTCTGCGCTGAAAGACCCTTTATAAATCTCACCAGATTCAGACACCTTCCAGACTATCCAGGGAAAGTCATGTGCGAAGGTGAAAAGACAGGTGTAGACCAGTGCAAAAAAGGGGGGGGGGGCAGCTCCACAGCATTATTCAAATGCAAACACATTAAAAAAAAAAAAAAAAAAAAGAAGAAGAAGAAGAAGAAGCTTCAGCGACCCCTGATTTTTGTCTCTGGCTTTAGAGAGGAAGAAACTGGCGGCGAGAAGTCACATGGCCAGTTAATGACAGCTCAAGCCAGACAGCCTCGGGACTGTCCTCGGGACGCCGGTCCCGGGTCCTCGCACATCACTGCCTCCTCAGCACACCCAGACGTCAGCAGGGAGAGCATCTCCCCCCTCCCATCTTCCAGAATCGCAAGAATCAAAGTAACAGCTCCTGCTGACGCCCCAGAGCCAGAAATCCCTTACGGGTGACTCTCCCACATGCAATCGCCCTCACTTACCCTTTGCCCTGACCATCAAGAATCTCCCATCCGTCCCGCTCAAAGCCCCCAGCCTGAAGGCCGAGCTCCCGTCGGCTGCCCACTCCAGGGCGGACCCAGAGCCAACGGCCCCCGGCCCCGGCCCCGAGAAAACCCCGAGCCCTGAAAGTCGTCACACTCGAAAACGTCCATGTCTCCTCCCAGCAAGGTAGCAGCAAGGGGAGCCGGCGAGCCCCGCGGATCAGGCCGGAGCGGAAGGCCCCGGGGTGGGAGCGGCGGCTTCTAAAATTACTTGGCGCAGCCTTTGTAGGAGAGGAGAAGGCGGAAAATGTACAAGGCACCCCCCGCCGCCCTGCTGGTGGCCCTGAGTTCCGGGGCTCGGGATGTCCGCGCGCAGCCCCGCGAGCGGGGCGAGGGGCGAGGGGCGGGCGACCCCGGGACGCGCGGCCCGAGGCCCGGCGGCGGCGGCGGCGGCGGCCAGCCCGGCCCCGGGGACCCGCTCGCCTCCCGCGGCGCGGCCTGAGGGCCCGAGCGCGCTGGGCTCCCGCGGCGGGCAGCGCGAGCGCCCGGGAGCCGGCCGGGCCCGGCGGGGGGGGGGGGGGACACGGGCGGAGGAGGCCGGGGGTCCCCGGGCATCCAGGGGCCCCGCGGTCCGGCCGGCCGGCGGGGGCGGGGGCGGGCGCCCGGGGCGGCCCGGGGCCGGGGGGGCGCAGGCCGCGCCGCGGGGCCGGTGACAGCGCGCGGGGGCCGTGCCAGGCCGGCCTCGTGGGCGCGGCGAGCACCTCGCGGCCCGGCCCGGCAGGTGCGGCTCGCGGGCCGGGCGGGGGGCGCGGCGGCCCGGCTCTCACCTGGCTGCAGCCCGCTGGGCTCCCGTCCTGCCGCCGCGCCTCGGCGCCGCAGTGCCCGCCGCCGCCGCCGCCGCCGCCGCCGCCTCCGGTCCCCGCGACAGCCGCCTGCAAAATGGCGCCGCGGAGGGGCGGGCCGGGGGCGGGGAGCCGCGGAGCCGCCCGCCCCCGCGCCGGCGGGGACCCACCTCCCTCTCCGCCCCCGACCCCCGCCCGCCGCGTGCCCCCCGAGGGGCTGCCCCCTCCCCCGCGGGGCCCCGGCCCGGCAGCCGCCACCCCCCGCCGCCCCCCGCCGCCCCCCGCCGCGTGCCCGGCACCACCGCCTACCGTCCCCGCTCGCTCCCTCCCCGCGTGGAAATCGCCCCCCGCCTCGCGCCCTCCCGCCGCACCTGCTCCGGGGCCCACCTGGCTCGCAGGGCGCGCGCCCCGAGGCTCCCCCGCTGGCTGCCCCCGGCACCCGCCGGCGCGGCGGGAAGATCCCCGCGCAGTCGTGCGGCGAACGGGGCTCGCGGCGGGGGCGGCGGGGGCGGCGGGGGCGGCGGGGCTGGAGCGTTTACGGCAATTCCGCCGTTTCTCGGGTTAGGCCTCCGGGTTCTTGGACTTACTGGGGGAGACGTCCTCATGACATCATGCAGACACGGGAGCGCCGCCCGGGGTTGCTCGGACTCCGCTGCCGCGGGGACCGTGTTTAGCCGCGGGCTGGGATGCGGCGGGTCTGGGTGCAGCCCGACAGTCGGCGTTTCCAAAAAGCCCCCCGCCCCCGGCGGCGGCCGCGGAGCGGAAAGCCTGCAGGTAACGTTGGGCGCAGCGCGGCGCGGCCCCGCCCGGAGCGCTGGGGCGAGACGCACGTGGCTGGGCCCCACCCCCGGGCTGCCGAGGCCCGAGGTGCGCGGGGAGGAACCGGCGTTTCTGACAGCTCCCAGGTGATGCTGCCGCTGCCGCTGCCGCTGCTGCTGCCCGGTGCCACCCTCCGCGAGCCACTGCTGAAGACTCTAACTAACGTGGCCAGAAACAAACAGAAAACACTGATAATTAGCACTCCCACAGCACCTTCCATCTTGAAACCACTCTGGTGCTTGCTGTTTCCACCCAATAATAACTGACTAGTTCCCCCGGCAACTCTCGAGAGAGCTCAAGGATTGTGGCCTGTTTGACCTGGCGTGGGGAGGGGCAGATTTTATCGTCAGAATTTTCTGCCTGCTTTACACGGTTTGGGGAACTCCGTGTTACAGGTAGCAGACATGTCCATGAGGGGGGAGGGGTAGATGACCAGCAAGTGGGATTTCATAAAGTACAGAAGTATAGTCCGTGTTCGTGAGAATCCGTCATGTGTCATCATATTTACTTCTCTAATGACTTGTGTGTTTAAAATAGAAGAGTTGGCTGGTGAAATTCAGTACATATTGTCTTGTATGTCAACTATACTTGAATTTTTAAAGATTTATACGTTGGAAGGCCAGGTGTTCTGATCCTCATTGAAGATGGAGGAAATAAGAGACAGATTCTGGGGCACCTGGGTGGCTTAGTGGTTGAGCAGCTGCCACTTAGGCTCCGGTCAAGATCCCAGGGTTCTAGGATCAAGTCCTGCATCAGGCTCCCCACAGGGAGCCTATTTCTCCCTCTAAGTCTCTGTTTCTCTCTCTCTCTCATGAATAAATAAATAAATAAAATCTTTAAAGAGAGAGAGAGAGATTCTGTGACCAACACCTAGAAAAAAATTCACCTCCCCTCTCCAGGTAACATCCCCAATAGGGAGAGTGCTTTCCAGGCAACCTTTATTTTGGGGGGTGGGGAGTGCTATGTGGGGAACTCCATATTATAGGTATCATACCTATCAATGGGGGGGAAGGGGTCTATGACCAGCAAGTGCGAATTTCATAAAATAGAGAAGTATAGTCTGTGTTTGGGAGAATCAATCATGTGTCATCATATTTATTTCTAATAACTCGTATGTTTAAAATACAAGAGTTGGCTGGTAAAATTCAGTACATATTGTCTTATATGTCAACTATACTTGAATTTTAAAAAATTTATACGTTGGAAAGCCAGGTGTTCTGATCCTCATTAAAGATGGAGGAAATAAGAGATGAAGATTCTGTGACCAACACCTAGAGAAAAATTCACCTCCTCTCTCCAGGTAACATCGCCAGCAGGGAGAGTGCTTTCCAGGCAAACTTCTTTTCCGGGTGGGATAGGGGAGGGGAGTGCTATGTGTCCTGCTCAGCCAGGGATGTGAGGTCTGAGATAGAAAAAGAAAGCTTCTTCAGTACATCTTCAGTGTCTCTTTCTCCCTCACAGATTTTCTCTATCCTAAAAAAATTTCTACCATCCCAGCCTCTCTTCCTTACCCCTCCTCGCCATCACTCCTTTAGGCAGGACTGCTGTCACTACCCACTTTGTCAGATGTCACCATTGACCTTCTAATGGCCAAATCCAATTGCCGGTTTAGAGCCTTTCTTTTCTACAGAGACGACTCTGTAATCTTCCATTGACTTCTGCCTCCTTCTTGAAACCCTTTTAGGGATAATACCACTGAGTCTTGCATGTCCTACAGCCTCCACTTACTTCTCAGCGATGTGAGACTTGCCCCATGATCACCCCTAAAAAGATTAGTTTTTACTAACATTTCTTTTCTCTCCCATCTTTTCCCTTGCTCTCTCCTTCTCAAACCCCTCTGAAAGGCAGCCATTTCCTCATAGTTCCCAATCTCTCTCTCTCTCCCCTAGATGGATATCTTTTTGAACTTCTAGACACACATTTCCCATTGCCCGAGACAACCTTCCTAGATAACACCAAAGAATTTTAAATATGGCATTTACCTATTCCTCTTTCTCCTACTACAAACTTGTTTCTTATCTGGATTCTCTCATTTTGCCACCAGAAACTTTGAAGTTGACTGTGACTGCCTGTCCTTCAGCCTTCATGTCCATTCTGTCGAACTAGAGCCAATTAGAGCAAGGAAGTGTATTCTCTCCTCTGCATGTACCATCCCAGACCCTCATTGGCTCTTCCTTGGACTGCTAGAAAAAGTTTCTCTCTGGCCTCTTGGCCTCAAGAGTTATCTCCAAAGCCATCCTTGTTATCATCCCAAAACACAGAATTGACCACTTCCCCCCATTCTGGAAATTCCTGAGAGACTCATGGTCTACAAAGTAACCTGGTAAAGAAATAGAATATAGGCTATTTCCCAGGACAGCATTCAAGGCCCTTTGCCAGCTAGTCTCCAGCTGCTGCTTTTTTTTTTTTTTTTTTTTTTCTGGACAAAGTACTACTTTTTGCTGCTGCCAGACGGGAGTTGGTATCAGGGAATGACCTTGACTTCAACTTGCAGGGTTATTGTGAGGATTAAATAAGATCATTTATATAAAGTGCTTATTCAGTGCTGGAATACATATCTTGCAGAGTCCATATGTATCCATGTCCTTATTTTTATATAAATATCATCACCAATTCAAAAAATACATGAATAATTTCCTTTCATTTCATTTTCCTTTTTCCTATTCACTTTCCTTTCCTATTATAGAAGATACAAACCGAGTTTTTTTCTTTCCCTGTAACTTCTCTAAACTAAATCAGCAGAATGCTTTGTGACCTGGATAATTTGATTGAAATTTCTGTCATTTCCAGGCTGTGTTATTTTTGAGAGGTAATTGTAGCTTGGGGCTATTCCATCTTTATACAGTTCTTTTCTTTACAATATTTATTTCCGATATCTCTTGGGAGCATAGAACCGAGATTGGCAAACTTTCCACAAAGGGCCTGATAGAGAAAGTTTTAGGCTTTGTGGGCCAAGAGGCAAAATCGAGGATATTCTATAGGTGGTTGTAAAATGAGAGAAAATGAATTTCCACAAGTTTTTTATTGATGAAATTCAAAATATAACAAGAGCAATTGAGTATAAGCTTTTTGTTGCACAAGTCTGCTAATGAGAGCAGGTTTGGGGTATAAGAGGGAATAAGATTTTGCTTAACTTGGGCTCAAAGTTAGTGTCTCCTATCACCAAGTTGGTCACAAATGCCCATCTGTAAAAACCATTCTTAGGGCAGCCCCAGTGGCGCAGCGGTTTGGCGCCGCCTGCAGCCTGGGGTGTGATCCTGGAGACCCGGGATCGAGTCCCACATCGAGCTTGCTGCGTGGAGCCTGCTTCTCCCTCTGCCTGTGTCTATGAATAAATAAATAAAATCTTAAAAAAAAAATCCATTCTTAGCTTAGAATCCATCCATTCTTAGTACAAAAACAGTCCATGAGTCATAGTCTGCTGACCCCTGATCTAAACCATAACTCCCCTCACTGGAGTTGTCTTTTCAGGGTAATATGGGGCTGATATCATTTACAATAGATCTTCAATGATAGAAAAAAGCAAAATGATGGTCTTTTCAAAGTCTTTTCTTCTGACTCTGAGAAAGTGCTTGGAGCAGAGGGCAAAAGCTTCATCATGTCTTGGTGTCAGAGGAACTGACAATTTCTAAAACAGACTCACATTAGGACATGCCCAGGTATGAGGCAGCCTGGGAGAGCCCAAGATCGGCCTCAATATTCTCTCTCTCTCTCTCTCTCTCTCTCTCTCTCTCTCTCTTTTTTTTCCCCACACGTTCAATGATGTTCCTTGCAGCATTGTTTCAAATAGGAAAAAAAAATTGAAACACAACCCAGGGGCACCTGGGTGGCTCAGTCAGTAAAACATCTGTTTTCAGCTCAGGTCATCATCCCAGAGTCCTGGGATCCAGCCCTGCATGGAGCCCCGCCTCGAGCTCCTAGATGAGCCTCCTCGAGATGAGCTCCAAGTGGGGCTCCCGTGGCAGGCTCCCTGCTCAGTGGAGAGCCTGATTCTCCCTCTCTTGCCTGCTCCTTCTCTCTCTCACTATCTCTGTCACTATATCTGTTTCTCTCTCTCAAATAAAATCTTTTTTAAAATAAAATTAAAATGGGCAGCCTGGGTAGCTCAGCAGTTTGGCGCCACCTTCAGCCCAGGGCATGATCCTGGAGACCTGAGATCAAGTCCCACGTCAGGCTCCCTGCATGGAGCCTGCTTCTCCCTCTGCCGGTGTCTCTGCCTCTCTCTCTGTCTCTGTGTGTCTCTCATTAATAAATAAATAAAAGTATTTTTTAAAAAATAAAATTTAAAAAAAGAAACACAACCCAAATGTACATCAACTAGAGAATGGCTGAATAAACTGTAGTATAAGCACTGTAGTCCCGGGCTGTTTTCTATTTTTTAATTTTTTAATTTTTATTATTTTAAAGATTTCATTTATTCATTTGGCAGAGAGAGAGAGAGAGAGAGAGAAAGCACAAGCAGGGGGAGCAGCAGAGGGAGAGGGAGAAGCAGGCTCCCCACCAAGCAGGGAGCTCAACATGGGGCTAGATCTCATCACTACCTGAGCCGAAGGCAGACGCTTACAAACTGAGCCACTCAGGAGTCCATGATCTTTTTAAAATTATGATATAATTCACACACCATAGTATTCACCATTTAAAGTATACAGTTCAGTGGTTTTTACTATATTGGCAAAGCTGTAAGGCTGTTACCACTATGTAACTTCAGAATATTTCATCACCCCAAAAAGAAACCCTATACCTATTATTAGCAGTTTACCCCCACTTTCCCCCTCCCTCCAGCCCCTGGCAGCCACTAATCTACACTCTATTGCTATGGATTTGCCTATTCTGGGCATTGAATAAATAGAATCATATTAATATGTGGTCCTCTGCAATCAGCTTTTTTTACCCAGTACAATGTTTTCAAGGTTCATCCATGTTGTAGCTGTGTCAACACTTTGTTTCTATTTATTTATTTATTTATTTATTTATTTATTTATTTATTTATTTATTTATGATAGTCACACAGAGAGAGATGAGAGAGAGGCAGAGACACAGGCAGAGGGAGAAGCAGGCTCCTTGCACCAGGAGTCCAATGTGGGATTCGATCCC